CATTTGGCGCATAAACATTATCGAACATTTATCAAACTCTTGATATCGCAATAATTATCGTTATCGTTTTATCGCCCAGCCCTAAAATCATTAGTATTCATCTTTCTGGATCTGTCTGCTGCTTTTGACACAGTTAACCACTAAATCCCCCTGTCATGATGACAATGGGTATCTTGGAGGAGTGAGGTATCTAAGTCACAGTATATAGCTAGTGGGGTGCCTCAGGGCTCAGTGCTTGGACCACTTCTCTTCTCCATCTCCATTTATTTATTTAATGTTTTATTTGTATAGGGACAGATACAATAAACAGATTAAATTTGTGACAACAGCCATCCAATGCATTTATCATAGTGCTTGTTGCTAAAGCCAATTTGCAACAGTTGTCCCTAGAAGGGCTTTTTATGACATGACATCACTAGGATCTGTCATTCAGAAACATGGCTCTTCCTATCACTGCTATGCTGATGACACAGCACTGTATAAGTGTACCTCTTGTTCCTGTCGGATGATCCCACGGTAGCTGCTCGCATCTCAGCCTGTCTGACAGACATTTCTTGCTGGATAAAGGACCATCACCTTCAACTCAACCTTGCCAAGACAGAACTGTTTGTGGTCCCGGCCAACCCAACACTTCATCACAACTTCTCCATTCATCTAGGTTTGTCATCCATAACTCCATCCAGAACATCCAGGAGCCTTGGAGTTGTGATTGATGATCAATTGAACTTCACAGACCACATTGCTAGAACTGCCCGGTCTTGCAGCTTTGCCTTACACAACATTAGGAAGATCAGGCCCTTCCTATCAGAGCATGCTCCACACACCTCGTCCAAACTCTTCTTCGATCCAGGCTGGGCTATTTTAATGCTCTCTCGGCATGCTCTCCAGAAGCTTGTGTTCTGCAAGTGAACGGCACCTTCTCAAAGAAGCACACAATCACTCACACTGACCTTTACCTGGACTGTTCACTGCTGGTGGAATGACCTGCCTAACTCAACCCGAGCTGCTGAGACTTCAGCCATTTTCAAGGAATGGCTAAACACAGATCTTTTTTTGTCAACACTTGACACATTAAAGGTGACATATTATGTCCTTTTCACAAGATGTAATATAAAGCTATGGTGTCCCCAGAATGTGTCTGTGAAATTTCAGATCAATATACCCCACAGATCACAAATTGTATAGCATGTTGACACTTTTTGGGTGCGAGCAAAAACACACCGTTTTTGTGTCTGTCCCTTTAAATGCAAATGAGCTGCTGCTCCACGCCCCCGTTCAGAAGAGTGTCGATCCTTTACATGAGCTTCGGATAAACCGGCAATAACAAAACATGCGAATAATCTCACTCATCCAAAATCTCAGAAATAACCAGTAGCAAGTGCAGCATTACATTACCAGGAGACTCAGGTAGAGGTTGAACTTTTAGATGCACCTGGACGTTTCTGAATATTTAGTGGATACATTTATGTAGTTCTTGTGGAGTTACATTGATTCACCTCATCGATTTGTGTGGAAACGTGCAGATTAAGGGCCGGTAATATTATAATAAGATCCCCTTCCTACGTCAGAAGGGGAGCAATATCTGATTGGTTGATTTTTTGACATGCTTGCAGAGAAAGGGTCAGAACAAAGTTACTGGGTTCATGTTTTTTGGGTTGGATGATGCACCGGGGACCCGTTCATAGCACTTAAACAGAAAAGTTCAGATTTTCATGATATGTCCCCTTAATACTAACACTTTCTATTCTATTTTGTCTATTTTTAAAAACCTTCCTTTGTGTACTGTGCAAATATGGAAAGATTTGACACATGTACTCTGACATGTTATCTCAGAGCAACTCAGTGCTGGAACTATTGAATTTGGTGTGTGTACCCGTGGGGCTGGTGTTCTTTAGTTTAGGCCTCCTGGTGTTGTGTGCCATGATATCAGGCCTTCTTCACTTTTTCTTTCTCTATGGCTTTGTGTGGATGTTCATTGAAGTTGTGTTGCTATTCATCTGCGGTCGCTCTGGTTGTGGTGGGTGTGTCTGTCAGGCTGGTTCCTGACTGCGATTGCTGTGAACAATAAGTTGTTGTTTGTTTGTTTTTTAAATTAATTTGATTAGAAGGAAATAAAACAGCTTGGGGATTTTTGTGGCATTTCTGCTATGGGATAAAAATACAGCTTTGACACAAGCTGTTCAGAGTCACGCATATCTGTAATATTTCAACACCTGCATTTTGGAAATGTTCATTCGGTTTTTATATTATGTTTTGCTCTAAACAGTTACTGGATTAGTACTGGACCTGTTTGTGTTATACTAGCAGTAAGTTCTAGTTAGAAACGTTCTTCAGATTGGGCTGTTGAAGTCAAGAAAACCATTTCTTTCTTGATTCCTCAATAATGAGGTCAGGCCTTTTTTTTCTATGCTAGTTGTCTCCAGAGACAGTATAAAAATGAAAACCAACAGAAGCCTATTTACTTCTCATTATATGCATATATTAAATTTCTCATCTTAATGTAGGTAATCAACAGGGAAAGTTTCATGGTGATATCTGCTAGTTAAAAAAATTACCCTATTCACCTGTTGTGTATGACCTTAATTCTGAAAAAAAAAAACATTCTAATTATTGGACAAAACACATCCTCACGTAATAACCTAGAATACTATCTAACACTTGATGGCTGCTCTGTCAAGTCTTCGTCGTCTATTAGGAGCCTGGGTATGATCTTTGATACCAATCTTTTATTTGAAAGCCACGTGTCTAGTATCTGTAAAACCACATTCTTCCATCTTAAAAATATATTTAAATTACGACATATGCTTTTCAATGAAAAATGCGGAACAGTTAGTTCATGCATTCATGACATCAAGGCTAGATTATTGTAATGCTCTACTGGGTGGTTGCCCTGCACACTTAATAAACAAACTACAGCTAGTCCAAAACGCAGCAGCTTGAGGTCTTACCAGAACCAGGAAGTATGACCATATTAGCCCGGTTCTGTCAACACTGCATTGGCTCCCTATTAAACATCGTATAAATTGTAAAATATTTCTGATTACTTACAAAGCACTAAATGGTTTAGCTCCGCAGTAAAAATTCCGGCCAGTTGATAATACCTAGAATATCTAAATCGACTGCTGGCGGGAGATCCTTTTCCTATTTAGCACCAAAACTTTGGAACAGTCTTCCTACCATTGTCCGGGAAGCAGACACACTCGGTCAGTTCAAATCTAGACTAAAAACACATCTCTTTGACCTAGCATACACATAACACACTATAGACTTCTATAATTCAATGTTAGGCTGCATAGATTAGGTCAGCCGGAACTGGGAACACTTCCCATAAATCCTGATGTACTTGTTACATCATAAGAAGGATGACGTCTACGCTAATTTTAGACTCTCTGTTTATCCCGAGGTTTACCGCAGTCCGCCGGATCCAGGCCGTATCCGGATCTGATGAAGGACCTGCGCCTGGACACGACGACAACGCAGTCCTGAAGTGTCAACTAGTCTCTCCCCTGTGAAGGCCTCCTTCCATTCTCTTTTGTAAGGGGATCCACTGGAGGCAAGTTGTAGAGAGAACCCAAGTGCAGCTTATTAGAAACAAAAGCATGGCATGGCATGAACTCAAAACAAAAGTGTGGCATGAACTTAAAGCAAAACAAAACCGTGGACATGGACATAAAGCTTACCAAACAGTGGTACAGTGAAACAAAACTTGACCAAGACACATGGCAAACATGAGGGCTTAAATACACAGACTAATGACAAGACAAGGGACACCTGTGTACAATGAACAGACGATTAACCAATGACAAGACACATGGCAGGATCACATGACAAACAGGGAATCACTTGACAGACATGGAACATGACATGAACAAACCAAAACGTGACACCTTTACCTCTGTACAGATAAAAAAATTGTCGGGATAATTCCGGTTGGAAGCGTGGAAGCGATAAATAATTCTTTATTATACATTTTTAAGGTCAGACAAGTAGTTTGTTGAGGGTTGGTTTGTGGAGAAGGATTACACGCCTGCGCAAATATATATTCAAACGCACATACCTATCGGCTAAATACGTAATGCGCATGTGCATGCCGTTGGCGTTTTCGCGGGTTTGCGTTTTTGAGGTTGGCGCAGAGATAACCTTCTTTTTCAAAGTTCTAGGGAGTGGGTGCCATTTTTATTTTTGTAATACTATGCTTTTCTCAAGTTTAAAGTAGAGAGGGAGTCAGGGAACTATTTTTTTGTGTAGTGTAGATTGGGTACCTATAGTTAGAGGTATTTTATGTATTTATTTATTTTGGCTTTTCCCACTCCTATTAGTTATTTTACACTTCCTATACTTGCTACACTTCCAACGATAAACCTTGTTCTACTAGCCTAGAAATCTAGACTCCACCTAGGGGCTGCAAAAATTATTTCGCTGCCAGTGTAGTCTAGCAACTCTCCGTTGACTTCCGAGCTGGAAAAACCAAACTCTAGTCAGGCCAATCACATCGTCTATAGAGTCGGCAGGCGGGCTTAACATAATGATGACAGAGTTGCGACGGTTCACTGCTGCTTGAAAACAAAGAATGGCTGCTGCTGTCGAACAGCTGTCTTTCGATTCGGCTTTGGCCGCGACTCTGGAGGATTTAAAGTTAAGCTTTTCTTTGAAACAAGAACAAAGAATTGTTCTTTGAAGATGGATGAAAGGCATTGAAGATGGATGTGATGCTTTTGTAGTCTTTGCACACCACACTTTGAGCACAACATCGAAAACATGTGCCTGACAAATATGAAGATGAGAACAAGGAGAAATCGCAATTGTGCTTTAATTAATTTTTTTTTTTTTTTTGAAATGTGTACAAATATATTTGAAATGTAATCTTTGTTTTCTTTTAAAATTATGTAAATGCATCTTGGTGTGTGTTCTGTCTTTGTGTGTAGATTTGAATATAAATTTGAATTTTAGCTGGAAGAGGCAAAAATATGTTAAATATGTTTCATCATCAGATGAACAGATAACTATCATATAAACTTCTGACACAAATATAATCCGTCTAGTTGGGTGAAGATCACTACATGTAAACTCATTCCAGGTGAGTCCCTCCCTCTTTAAATGCTTGAATGAGAATGAAATGCTTTGGTGTTACTATCAATCAATCAATCAATCAATCCATTTTTGCAGTTTTGTCTTCAGTAGCGATTTGTGACACTGTATATATGTTTCATGCTATTTAGACTAAACATTGAAATCCTTAATTAAACTTTCTAAACATGCTTCTCATATTCATCATGAGAATGAACTATTAGCCTTTTCAAAACAAATATACTTTATTGTGTGTACTGAGGTGTGATTTATTTGTAAGGGCAAAAAATTAAAGGGCTGTTCGACGTTGCAAGAGATAGTTGATAGGTGAAGGGTTTACAGACAGAAGAGCGAGGTAAAATAGAACTGAATTAAATTTGTTAGTAGCTATATTTGAGTGATTTTTTATCCTTAAATGCAGGCTTGCAAAAGCAAGTGTGTGAGAGCTAAATGTGTAAATCTTCCAACACAGAGTTGGTTGGCACCGTTTTCAGTCTGTGTTGAATATCTCTGGTGGGAAACAATTAAACAATTATGGTTGGCGCAGCCATTAAAGGTGATTGTGATTATGATGTTGCTGTTTATAGCGTGTAAATTCCCCCGTTCATTTTGGTAAAACTTTCATCACAGCAAATTTTTGTTTTGTCTCTTAATTTATTTCAGAAAATCAATGCCTGATCTGGTTTGCTAAATAAATATTAAACACAGTGGACTATGAGATTCCACAATGGTGGTCACTGGTTTTAAAAGTAAGTATTTTTCTTTTCCTGTTTTGATTTAGAGAAATTCTATTGCGTATTTTCAGTAGGCTACTGACTGAGAATTAAATGTATGACAATTTTGTTTTGACAATGAATAAGATTTATCTAAAAGAATTCATGAATAATTTTCTTAACAGAAATTGATGAGTATTTTATGTTAATTTATAGCTCAGCTCACATATTTTTTGTTAAAACTATATAAATATTTTTTAATTATAATTTATAGTTTATTACAGTTGCATCTAAATGTCATGCAGCACTATCATTGCTTCATAATCCTCAGCAAGCCAAACTTCAACTTTCTACATTCATTTATCAGTAACATGTTTTCCAATTCCAGAAATCAATTTTTCTGAAACTGTAACCGCAAAACAAAACTTGTTTTCTCTTTTAACAAGCAAAATCAAGTAAGAAGTTATATGGCACCACCTGTGTCTCTGAATGGTATAGACGGTAGCAAAAATGTCCTTGGAGGACTTTATATTAATAACATAAATTAAAATTGCAGTCAAAACTCCAAGAGTTATATTCTAAATGCATCTTAGACTTAGACTTCCTATATACACGGGTTTCTTGTATACAAACAATACCGGATGCGCGCGCATCTAGGAGGCAAAAACCGCTATCTGTTATGCCGAGTTCTGTAAAAGAACATTGTAATTAATGTAGATTTAGCATTGTTTGTAATTTCTTGTTGACTCGATAATAAACTGCAATTTCAGAGTTGGATCTGTTTGTTTGTGTTTCATATTAATATAACATTATGTAAAACGTCCAACTATTTACGAATCAAAATCCGGACATGCTGTGATGCTTGTATCAATTATCATGTTAGACCTCCGCATCCTCCGAAGGCCGTATTTGAAGGCCGCTTGGCCGTATTTGAAGGCCGATTGCGTCACAGCGGCACGACGAAGGACGTCCCAATTCAAAGGCTGCACCCTCCGAAGGTCGCATTTGAAGGCCGGTTGGCCGCATTTGAAGGCCGGTTGCGTCATCGCGGCGCGATGAAGGCTGTCCCAATTCAATTCTGCATCCTCCGAAGGCCGTATTCGAAGGCCGGTTGCGTCATCGCGGCGAGACGAGGGCTACCCTGATTCAAAAGCGACGCCAAATGCACCCTTCGTTTCCCCGTGAAAGAGAGGATGCATAAATGGATCCTAAGCGGCCTATCCTACCCCATAAGTCATTGCGCACCGGTGACGACAGCATTTTTATTTAAAGTTCGAGAGTTCGTTGGTGGATGGCAAATTCACATTTAAATGTAAGTATTATGTTTTCATTTACTCAAATAGCTAGAGAACCCAGAGTTAAAAGCCACACGTTTTTCTTTCTTATAAACTTCATCTTAACTCATTCGTCACCATTGTCTGGTAGTTTGAGGCAAAACTTGTGCCAATATTACTTTAATAATTGTTTCAGTGAGCAAGGAGCAGACAGCAAAATGTAAATTAAATAAATAAACTAAACTAAATAAATTAAATTTTATTGTAATATTTGCACTGGGCTGTCTCACTTGACTTGTGTATTATAAGAAATATCACTCACCCTATAAAGCCCACAACAATAAGAAAAGCAGTAGATAAGGCAATGGGGTTTCACTTTTTATGTTTTTGTACTGCTGTAGGCCTAATGCAAGCTATGTCTACAAAGGTTTTAACCAAATTTGAGTATCCAGAAATATGATTTCTGAAGTATTTTGTATGTATGTCCTGATGTGTCATATTTTGCAGTTAACAGTGCACTAATGTTAAGATTGCACCCCTGTGTTAATATTTTTCACCCCTTTTCTCCTTTTTTAGAGCAATTCTTATTCTGGAGAAAATGGGTCTGCTGGGGAAGGCAACTCCCATGCAGGTAAAAAAATGGGACAACTTAAAAAAAAATACAAAGTAAGAAAGTTAATACACACATCTTTACTGAAATTTATTGTGCTGTTGTTGTTAACAAGCCATGGTTAATTTGATCTGCCTTAGGATTGCAAGTGTCCAGGGACAGGTCAAGGTGTGAGTGGGAAACCCACTGCTGAACTCGGCCCTGGTTTGTCCTCATGGATGAGGTGTTGGGTCAGAGCCCCTCCACCAACCGCCCTGTCCTCATTGCCCCCATCCCTGAGGACAGACCAGGGCCGAGTTCAGCAGTGTGTGCCCACGGTGAGGAGGAGCCAGGGGCCGCACCAGCAGCAGCAGCAGCACCAGCATGAGCACAAGCATCCGCACCACGAAGAAGGCGAAACAGAGAAGACAAGTTTTGGGACTTGATTAGAAGGGGAAAAAAGCTTTTCTGTACATTATTTATTTGTATGCAACTTTAAATGTGTAAATAAAAGAGAATTTATTGCTCTGGACATTGTTTATTTTTGTAATGACAGTCATAATTTCTACATGAAACAAATAATGTTATACCTTTTTTTCAATTAAAAATGGTAAATGAAAATAATTTGTGGGTTACATAAAAGTACTTTTTCCAACTATTTACAATATACGTTAAACATCTCAAAATTAACATTTACAGTACATAAAATAAGAAAGAATAGCCGCGTTTCCACTGACGGGCCAGGGCCGGGCCGTGCTAGTGCGTGCCAGGGCCAGTCGCGTTTCCACTGTCACTTCCGGGGCTTGAGCGGGGCTTACTCGGGGCCAACGGCCAGGATTTCTGGCCCGTCGAATACCTTGGGCCAAAGCGGGCCAGCTCGGGCTAGAGGAGTGGTTACGAACAGAGGCGGGGTTTACCTGAGTCTGGAGACGACAGCGCTGGATGATTCTGTCAGCATTAAATAGGCTACTTTTAAAATAGTTTAACTCACTTTCATGTTTGAATGCCTTCTGTTTGTGATCCGATGTGGATTCTGATCACCGTATAAGGTAGAAATATTTATACGCGATGCAAAAGACTATGCGCGCATTGCGCGCTAACCATTACCATAGTAAACATAGTAAACGCTTGAAGATACGCATAGTAAAAAAACATGGTGAACGCTTGAAGAAATCAGACCAATCATAAGGCTATCACAATCATGTTTTTATTCTATCTGTCAGTATCCTACGTCTCGCTCTTTATATACCGGACTATCATAAAAAAGCAACTTTTTTTCGGGAGCTTCCTCTTTTTCTCTGACTGAAAATATAGCCGAGTCGAGAGAGTGCTAAAGCTCCTCAGGTCGTGTTTTTGGTGGCATATATTTGTAGAAAGTAGCCTATCATTCTTTATAAATGTGATATATGTCCTGTAACTACCAAATAAACAGAAACAGCCTCGACTGAATAAGTAAGTGTGTCATCTTTCTTTTGTGAAATAGACCTACAGTAATTTATTTCTGTGTGACTAATGTGCAATTTTGACATAACGTAATTCATTATGATCAATGTATCACTTTTTATTGTAAACCTGTGGTAAAACATCGATGCTTGGGTTTTAAATATTCAAGTAAACAACAAAAATGCCAGCAAACCGCCGCTTTTATCATGTTTGTTTTGCGATGCACGCTCTTTCCAGTGATTTCATTCGGATTAGTTTTCTGATAAAACTTCCATTTGTTGGTGAAATGATGGGTTAGTGTGACGTTGTTCCAGAGAGGCGTGTTACGGGCGTGTTTTAGTGACGCGCTGTGGAGCTTCTGGCCCGGCAGTGGAAACGCAAGCCAGGTGCTACTGGCCCGAGGCTATTAGCCCGGCACGGCCCGTTTAAAGCCCTGGCCTAGCACTGGCCCGACAGTGGAACGCGGCTAATGATGTAGACTGGGACCATCTGGGATGGGCTCTGAGTGTTTGACTGCATATTTCCACTATCCACTAAGTTGTCGACCAACAGGTTTGCAGGGCTGACTCATGGAAAAAATATTAAGATAGGCTAGGCTACTTTATTACGGTAAAGTACTTTTAATAACCACTAATACCGCATTGGGGAGAACCAATCATATATATATACTTTTGTGTAGTTTAATGTAAAACAATGTATCATATTGTAAAATAACATAATTTTGTTGTGTTGCTGTTCTGTGTGGGAAAAAAGTAGCCTACTTCACATTTGTATGTGAATATTAACAAAGTAGTTCCTTACACTCCACCACTGGTTATTTTTAAAATGAAAGTAACAAAATGTAGGCCTATTGCCACAATATTAACAAATTGTTGCTAACTACAGCTGCGTCCCATATCAAAGTGCGCATCTGAAGCGCTCGGACCGGTCTAGCTTGCGGATTGCTCTGGTCGCCTAGCAACTGTGACTGACAGCTGCCGATGACGAGCGGGAGCAACGTTTGCACTGGGCTTTATATTCAAATAGGGTTGAAAACCTGTGTAACTATATTCACTACGGTCCATTTCTGTACATAATAAAAATAATACACTAGCCTACAAACTCGCATCAAGGTAAGATATAAGTGAACATTTGAACCTTAAATAACACTTCAATAACAGCGCCAGGGCTGAAACATCCTCACATGTCCTCCAGTAAAATATAAAACATAAAAATGACAATAGCCAATTCTTGCTCCATAGTTGTTTACTCAATTATAACAAATTAATTATCAGGATGGCGGTGTACTCTCGCACCGTTGCTTGGCGCCAGGAGGGGTAATAGGGAACACCTGGTTGTGCATTAGGAAATCCTACGAAGGCTACATGGTGCGTCCTTCGAAGGACGCGTAGGCTGCATACTTTAAAGTCCGCGGCCTTCGAAGGATGCAGCCTTCACATTGGCACACAGCTTAAGTTAGTAATGTAATAGCCTCTATAGAGCCCGAATTTGCTTTTATATAAGTTAACCTTGTTTACGTTACTTTACGACCTGCAACATATCATGACTGCACACATATAACGTTACTTTACTGTAAATCAAAGATTTGACGATGGATTATGTGGGAAGCCTTAGTACCTCCGACCGTGGCGATTATATTAAAAAACTTACTCTCAGCAATGGTGAGATCTTGCCGGATCCCTACGCAATACCTGACGATCTTTGGATTGTGGATGACAAGAAGTGGCCAGCAATTGTATGGCCTGATATATATAATTATCTAATTCAGACACCAAGTGTGTATACAAGAGAAATGATTAGAGCGTACAAATCCCTTAATACATACAACTACGTGCTATGTTGTCATGTGCAGCTCATCAATACTTTGATGCTGCACCGGATTTTTGTGTGTTGAGGTCAGATGTGCTCCCTAGTCAACGGCAAGGCATTAAAGCCAAGCCTTATGATGCCTGGGTGTATGTCCATAAGGCATTTTGACTAGCGACAACACCACCACTATGCTACTAGCCTAAACCCTAGCCTAAACCTAGGGTCTAAACATTTCATCGATTGTTATTAAGGATGTAGCACTGTCTGATCATTTCTGTATATATCTACTGTTTTTAATGTTGATCATTTATTTTACGAGCAAGAATGCAATGTTTCCCGAATATCCATTTGATTGCTAATGTGACTGATTTTATACAACAGTTCAACAAACGAAAGGGTAATATTAAAGGATTAGTTGACCTCAAAATGAAAATTTCCTGATAATTTCACCCCAATGCCATCCAAGATGTTCATGTCTTTCTTTCTTCAGTGGAAAAGAAATTAAGTTTTTTGTGGAAAACATTTCAGGATATTTCTCCACACAATGGACTTCAACGGTAACCAAATTGTTGAAGTCCAAATCAATGCAGTTTCAAAGGGCTATGAAGAGCTTCAAACGGCTCTGCACGATCCCAGCTGAGGAATAGGGTCTTATCTAGCGAAACCATTGGTCATTTTCAAAAAAAACAAAAACAAAAAATGTATATACCTTTTAACCATAATTGTTCGTCTTGTGCTGGTCTGCGACGCGCCAGGCATTACGCAATCATGTTGGAAACGTCACGCTGGACGTAGGCGGAAGTATCGCCCCATTGTTTACAAGCGTGGAGAAGGAGGATCGTTCAAATTTTATTGTATGTTGAATTACTTATTTATGTCTTTATGTCAGTTTATTGTTTAAATTGGTCCTTTTGTGTGCGTATCCTGGATGTTTAAAACAATGGGGCGGTACTTCCGCCTACGTCCAGCGTGACCTTTCCAACGTGATTACGTTATCAAGTTATCACAAGTTATCACAACAAGTTGACTTGCAAGTAATTGCAACATCGTCGATCAGTTGTAAGTTATGTCCTCATTTGCCTAAACTAATTAGTATGGCTCCAGAAATTTACAAAATTGTTTGAACAGACATTGATCGTTTGAAACTTAAGTGTCTAACAGTCAGTGCTAAAGATCTCCGTTGAAAAACAATTCATATTTGTGTGTATTGTGAAATAATTCTATGTATAACAGTAGTAAAACATTAGACATTTTAATATTTGTCTTTTTTTTCATGCCAGGTGTTGAATGGTCACTGTTGGCTGTCATCTCTTTAATCCTCTGTAAGTGTAAGCCAGTACTGTTTTCTTTAAACAAATGTCTGTTGACCCTGTGAACCATATTACCTTTTTGTTTTTTTAAATAATTACATTCATTTATTAGTACATGGTCATTGTCAAAACTCTACTCTGTTGTCTATATAAGGATGCAATTTTACAGAACTGTTAATCTAATTTCAAAAATACTCCAAATGAAATACTTTGAAAATATTTGTTACATTTTAAAGAATGGATACTATGAATCAAAACAAATAAACAGTGCCTGTGGCCGACAGAATGGTCAGGTGATGTAATGTAAGTGCCTCACCTAGACCATAAATAGACACCTGAAACACGTCACCAGATTCTAAAAACAAAGAACAACAACTCGAAATGTGTTTCCAATCCAATGAAATGTGCTAACCATGCTGGAAATTCACCTGGTTTGGTATTTGTGTTTACTTTGATCACATCTTTCTCATCCTCAGGTATAATATCCACCACTGCCGCTGAATCAAGGGCAGCAGTTCGTTCAGTTTTGGACTGTGCGCTTGATAATGACACGTACATCTGCACCGGTGCTCAGTACCGCATGCACTGCAACACAAGAATGAATCGTTTCTCCTACCAAAGATACCAATACCAAAACCAATACCAGTGCATGAGTAAAGACTGTATCTGTGTTGGTAATAATGACACCTGTGCATGCTACTATAATACTTCATCCTGCTTCTGTGAGAATATTAGCAATAACATCACTATCCCTACAGCAGTTAGACCAGTCTATGACTGTGGGCTTTATAGCGACACATACATCTGCACTGGTGCTCAGTACCACATGTACTGCAACACAAGTGTGCATGATTTCCATTACTATAAATACCATTACCACTGTTTTAGTGATAACTGTAGCTGCATTGGTGATCAGGACACATGTGTGTGCAACTATAATATGTCATCCTCCTGCTTCTGTACAAATAACAACAATAGCATCACTATCCCTGCAGCAGTTAGACCAGTCTACGACTGTGGTCTTTACAACGACACGTACATCTGCACTGGTGCTCAGTACCGCATGTACTGCAACACAAGAATGCATAGTTTCTACTACTGGAAATATCAGAACCAAGACCAATACCAGTATGAATGCTGGAGTAATAACTGTAACTGTGTTGGTAATAAGGACACCTGTACTTGCTACAGTAGCACTCTGTCCTCCTGCTTCTGCGAGACTAACAGCAATAGCATCACTATCCCTATCCCTACATCAGTTAGTCCAGTCACAGACCCTGACTGTGTGCTACAAAACAACACGTACATCTGCACTGGTTCTCAGTACCGTATGTACTGCAACACACAAATGCATGATTTCTCCTACCAAAAATATCAGTTCCAGTTCCAGTACCAGTGTGTGAACAATGACTGTGACTGTGTTGGTAATAAGGACACCTGTACGTGTTCTAGTACTACTCTGTCCTCCTGCTTCTGTGAGACTTATGGCAATATCATTGCTCTCACTACAGCAGTTAGACCAGTCTATGACTGTGAGCTTTATAGCGACACATACATCTGCACTGGTGCTCAGTACCAAATGTACTGCAACACAAGTGTGCATGATTTCCATTACTATAAATACCATTACCACTGTTTTAGTGATAACTGTGGCTGCATTGGTAATAAGGACACTTGTGTGTGCAAATATAATATGTCATCCTCCTGCTTCTGTACAAATAACAACAATAGCATCACTATCCCTGCAGCAGTTAGACCAGTCTACGACTGTGGTCTTTATAATGACACGTACATCTGCACTGGTGCTCAGTACCGCATGCACTGCAACACAAGAATGCATTATTTCGACTACTGGAAATATCAGTACCAAAACCAAGACCAATACCAGTATGAATGCTGGAGTAATAACTGTTACTGTTTTGGTAATAAGGACACCTGTACATGCTACAGTAGCACTCTGTCCTCCTGCTTCTGTGAGACTAACAGGAATTACATTGCTCTCACTACAGCAGTTAGTCCAGTCTATGACTGTGGGCTTTATGACGACACATACATCTGCACTGGTGCTCAGTATCACATGTACTGCGACATAAGTGTGCATGATTTCTACTACTGGAATAACCATTACTACTGTTTTAGTGATAACTGTGGCTGCATTGGTGATCAGGACACCTGTGTGTGCAACTATATGTCATCCTCCTGCTTCTGTACAAATAACAACAATAGCATCACTATCCCTGCAGCAGTTAGACCAGTCTACGACTGTGGTCTTTATAACGACACGTACATCTGCACTGGTGCTCAGTACCGCATGCACTGCAACACAAGAATGCATAGTTTCTACTACTGGAAATATCAGTACCAAAACCAAGACCAAAACCAATTCCAATGCTGGAGTAATAACTGTTACTGTGTTGGTAATAAGGACACCTGTACTTGCTACAGTAGCACTCTGTCCTCCTGCTTCTGTGAGACTAATATCTACACTCCAAACACACTCAGTCCAACTACTACAGGTACGCATGTTTCTAGACTGAAATGTGATGTTTGATTTGACTGTATTCATGTTATAATGATGAGTTCCCTCACTACAGGTCTGGATAACATTGATAACATGCCGGATCAATGCAGGGTAAGCTGAATATTTAAATTTACATAGTGCACAGTCTTTGAGTTTAATTCATAAAGCTCAATTGTGATTTTAGAGTCAGAACTCTACAGGATGTTTTCAAAATCTTCTTGACAAGATAGAGAACATTACAGATCAAGAGCTTTCTTTGGATGTAAGTCTTTTAAAAAATGATATAATAATCAAATCTGTGTCAGTTACATAATGATTGACATTATTCTTATTGCCTCTCTTAATATTTACATGTAAAATAACTATATTTCTCTGATCAATAAATTAGACTGTGACCACCATTTTGACTATGGCCTTCAACGCTTCAGAGAAGATTTTAGAGTCATCATCATCAGTCAGCCCAACTGAACTAGCCTCCTATGCAAACCGTGTGTTAAAAATTAGCGAGAAACTCATATCTACATTGGTGAAGCCAACAGACACGAGTGCCAATGTCAGTTTTACTCTTGCCACTGTAGGTAAGTGAGAAATTAGGTTTTATTAACAAAGTTCGGGAGGAGCATCCCTCCACCACCTAATCTCCTTACTTCTAACTATTCCTATCCCAACCCTCGGACAGCAAGGCAAATACACATTACCTTTTTTAGTAACTATATCACAAGAGCAGAAAACACTGTGTCATGTTTAGTGTCTGCGTTTGCCTGTGTCACCCAGTTTGTACCTATGTTTCTTTGATTTAATCCCTATCACCTGTTGTCGTGTTAATCAAGTCATTATGAGTTCATTTGTCCCAGCTGTGTCTCGTTTTCCTTGTATGTTCTGTGTATTTAAGCCCTGTGTTTCAGTCGGTTCCTTGACTGTCGTTGTCGCTACATGTCTGGTTGTTTCATTCGTGTTCTCTTTGTATCCTGTCAGTTATTATCTAGTTTGTTTAATAAACACTGCTGCAATTGCGATCCTACTTCCGTGCCTGCTTCAACCAGCCCGTGGCAGAACGACAGACCAAAAATATGGATCTTGCAGCAGTTCAGATTCTCCTACTCTCCCAGGAGGATCAGTCCCTCGAGGCCCACACACAGAGGTATTTGGACTTAGTACCATTTGTTTATTATCATGACACCAGCCTCTGTGGGTTCTCTGGGCAGGTCTCAACGCAGAGACCAAAGCGTGCCTGCCCGAAGATGGGCCTCGGGGGAACTTCCAGGATTATGTGGAGTGGGTGCTTTGGCATAATGGGTCTTCATTCACCGTTGGGCTCTGCGACAGCCATGAAGAGGAGATCGCCCTGCCAGAGAATCTTCGTGTCATGCCAGCCATCAGGCCCAGTACCATATTGGTCTATGGGCGATCAAGATTAATGTCCAGTGTGATGGAGCTACCTCTCTTGTCAGCGCGGATGGCCATGAAGATCGCCCTGCCAGAGTCTTGCCCCGCTGAGACCGCCCAGCCAGGGTCTCGCCCCGCCGAGACCGCCCAGCCAGAGTCTCGTCCCGCCGAGACCATCGTTCCTGTGTCTCGTCCCGTTGAGACCGCCACCCTTCTGGGGTCTCGTTCCGCCGAGACCACAATTCCAGGGCCATATCTCAAGATGGCCGCCACTCCCGAGTCTCTTCCAGTCATGCCTGGCCAGCCTGATCTTCACGTCATACGTCTCCACCATGGCCGCCCGAAGGTCATCTCCACCATGGTCCCCTGATCTGCCAGCTCCGCCCTGGCCGCCTGAACAGCCTGTTCTGCCCTGGAGGCTTCTTGCTCCGGATAGGCCACGCTCTTGTCAGCCTCCAGGGCGCCCACCCCTATGGATGTAATACGGCGCGAGGTCGCGCCTTGAAGGAGGGGGAGCTTCTGTCACGTTTAGTGTCTGTTTCGTTTGCCTGTGTCACCCAGTTTGTACCTATGTTTCTTTGATTTAATCCCTATCACCTGTTGTCTTGTTAATCAAGTTATTATGAGGTCATTTGCCCCAGCTGTGTCTCGTTTTCCTTGTATGTTCTGTGTATTTAAACCCTGTGTTTCAGTCGGTTCCTTTTCTGTCGTTTTCGCTACATGCCTGGTTGTTCCGTTCGTGTTTTCTTTGTATCTGATCAGTTATTATCTAGTTTGATAAACACTGCTGCAATTGCGATCCTGCTTCCGTGCCTGCTTCAACCAGCCCGCGACACACTGCCTGTATCTTTTGTTGCTGATGTCAAAAGTCAGAATTTTGGTGCAAATTCATCAATTTTTTGGTAGAAATGTCTTGGAAAAAAGATAACCATAAACAGGTTCACTTACAGTGAAATTCATGGTTTGTGGTGACCACAATGTGTTTTGTGAATATATTGCCTAAAAACAATCAACATTCACAAGACATGTATCCAACAATAAAACAAAGTCTGTGCAGCTTATAGTATTAATCAATTATAGGGTTTGATTTTAAGGACATTTTAGCTTAAAGGGTTAGTTCGCCCATTTTAAGACATGAAGTCGTATGCAATCCTTACCAGCACTATAGTGCATACACCCTGACCCACTCTGTTGTCACCTCCCTGGTCAGAGTTCTGGCCGCTGGAAGTTTTTCAATAAAGTACTCCCGGTTATTTTCCGGGGTCACAAAACTGTGCGTTTTTACGTGAAAAAATGATTTGCGTTTCAAAGCTTGATTAATTTACCACACAAAAAACACGCCGGTCAAAATTCATACCTCAGTTTTAATCGGCACTATTTTCTATCCATTTCTATCAATCCGCGCTGCTGTCAACGTCAACAGTGCGCACGTTCCGATCAGCTGTTGATAGCGCGACTCGATGACAACATGTCTGACTGCGAAACTTCTGATGATGAAACCAATTTTAGCACAATGTCAGACGGATCAGATGATGAAAGTAATTTTAGCACAACGACAATGTTATTGATTGCAACACCAAACCTCAATTGTGTGTGTGTTCAATCAAATAGTTTTCTCAGCAAATTGTACCAATATCCCTGTAGGCTATACTGTTTTTATATTAGACATCTTTTCACATGTTTTATAATGGAGTCTAACGTTAAACATCAGCTTGTTTACCGTACAGTTTAGACATGGGATCATAAAGTTAGTAAATAGAGCTTACCCGTGGTACTGGTACAGCAAAACTCTTTAATTTTACTTTTCCTCCTTGGTTGTAATCGTCTTCGCTGAAGTGAGCACTACACACACGAAAATCCTTTATTCTGGACTGGATATTTTAGCTCCCGCAGAGTAGCCGATGGCAACCAGCCAAAGCTGTCTCATAGATTCGAAACAGGAAAACGATGGAATCTGAACTTTGATCCCGGCACATCGTTGTGGTAACAGCCTGGGAATTTACAAGTTCGCACCATTGTTAATCTAATACTTTTTACGTCGTTGTCAATGTCAATCGATTGTGTAAACACTATGGAACAGCTGATCGGAACGTGCGCACTGTTGACGTTGACAGCAGCGCGGATTGACAGAAATGGATAGAAAATAGTGCCGATTAAAACTGAGGTATGAATTTTGACCGGCGTGTTTTTTGTGTGGTAAATTAATCAAGCTTTGAAACGCAAATCATTTTTTCACATAAAAACGCACAGTTTTGAGGTCCCGGAAACTAACCGGGAGTACTTTATTGAAAAACTTCCAGCGGCCAGAACTCTGACCAGGGAGGTGACAACAGAGTGGGTCAGTGTGTATGCACTATAGTGCTGGTAAGGATTGCATACGACTTCATGTCTTAAATGGGCGAACTAACCCTTTAAACAATCACAGATGAATACCCAACAATAGTAAATAGTCATTCAATTTGTTTGTCATTGTCTTTAAATTGGACTTTTATAAAAAAAATATAAATAATGCAAATAAATTATTATAGCCTATAACTGCTTGTTTGTTTATAATCAGAGGGACAAGTCTTCATGGTTGGACCAAATGTAGCATTAGATAAAATCCCTCGACTTGACACAACAAGTTCTTCTGTGGACATCGATCTCATTGGGATCGCCAAGAACAACAGTGAAGGTATGTGATACATATAAAAAATTGTAGAAAGAGATGTCATACCATCACCACTAAAACTCATTTATTTACTTTTTAAATTGTTGTTGTTTTAACACAGTATTACATGCATGCTTCTGTTTCTGTCACACAGGATCTGCTGCTGTGGCTTTCATGAGTTTTAACACAATGGAGAATCTACTTAAGCCCGACTTCTTCAACACATCAAATGACGCGGTTAAAACCATGATGTCCACTGTGATCTCAGCTACTCTTCCCAAAACCACCAACACTAAACTCACCAAACCAGTCAACTTCACCCTCAAACACATCAGAGTGAGAGACTGAAATGTGTTTTTGTCCAACCTGAGATCTGATGAACATCTGAAGACATCTAATATTCAGTGTTGTAATATTTCCTGCATGTTCTTTCTTCATTTTGCAGGAGTTTGACCCCAGCGGTTCTCTGTCCTGTGTGTACTGGAACATCAGCGAGTGGATTGTAGATGGTTGTTCTGTTTTAAAGACCAACAGCAGCTACACTGTGTGTTCCTGTGTTCATCTGTCAACATTCGCTCTCATGCAAACCAGCCGCCGCCCATCAGAGGTATGAAAGACGAGTTAAACCAGTGGATGGTCGACATTTATAGTGACCATTCAAGAACAGCACAGATATGGCACTCATGTACTCTGACATGTTTTCTCAGAGCGCTCCACGGCTGGACCTGTTGATTTTGGTGTGTGTGATCGTGGGGCTGGTGTTCCTCAGTTCGGCCCTGTTGACCTTTGCCCTTTGTCGGTGGACTCGTATGTGTGATTGGATAGTTGGTCACTCTGGTTGTGTCAGGCTGGTTCCTGGAGGCTATGTCAGGGAAATGTGAGGTTTTTTTTATTATTATTTGTTTAGAAGGAGATAAAACAGCTCAGGCTTTTGTGACAATTCTGCTATCTGATAAAAATACAATGTCGTGCTCAAGATTAAAAAGGTCAAACAGTCAACATCTGAAATACTATTTCAACACTGGCTCAGTTTGAGGTTCTTGGTTGCTCCTGGATTCTGGGTTTCATCACTACTGGCAGTAAGGAGCTGAAGTTCTTCTTCAGTCACATACACACTGTAAAGTTTCAGGAGTGAAAACCGCATTTAAATGCAGGATTGAGTCCTGTTAATTATCATTCAACGTGTCTACGGAACACATGACTCGCTCTGGAAACTGTGATGATTGACACTGTGGTAACCCTAGCAAAGTTCTGGCGTCTTCATGCGTTTAGTATCCACTATTCAGAAAGATGTAATATTACAGTGACAAAAGACTCATTATGTTCAGTCATTTTAACTGAAGCACAGTCGACGGAGGCGTCGTGTTTTGTTTATGCTTAAGGCTGCTTCACAGAGTGCGCTCTTGCAGTCTTGCCATGTCCACTTATTGGAAGTGTTTTTGGGCTTGTTGTTTAGGCTCAAGTGGTGCTTACTGCAGAGTCAAATGATGTCCAGCTCCTGGACAGGGATAGAGTTGTGGGTGTGGTTGGATATTATAGCTCCACCCATTAGGCCAATTACAATAACCAATTACATTCGCTCCTCCTCTCTGGACGTCTAGCAAGGGTAGCTAGACATAATCTCAACCCATTTGCTCTGCAGAGAGCAGCATCTCTTTAAGCTTGGCTCATACAGAAATTGAGTTTATGGACCAAAAATGCAAGCAAATTTGGCACACACCAAGTCAAAACCAAATATCTATAGGAAAAATATATATTCAATCTTTTTTTCCATGATACCACAATTGTTTGATTAACATTAATGAAACAGACAGCCTATATATTAAGACCTGATGTACCGCACGGATCTAATATAAATGTTACAAATCAGATTTTTTCCCCCACAGTTAACCAAATGTTCACATAAGACATAACAGAATGTTTGCGTGAATACTCGCCAAGACAGATATTTTCAAATACTGTGATTCTGTGTGTATATCGGGATTCCGCTCTGTCTGAGGCGTCTTTATACGCTCGATTCAGATCTGTGTCAGCGCGAGTAAGATCGTTTTGTTTACATCAGCATGAGTTTGAAAATCACATTTCACTGGTTCAGACTAATACCATCGATAATTCACTATGAATATTCACAAAGTTGGAATGTTGCACTTTAAAACGATACCAAACTCGAGCACCAGTCGTCGAGAAGCCAGTAGAGACAAACAGCACTTTTCATGGACAAAGGAAAGGTACTCCTCTCAGAACACATACAAATAAAGATACTTTTAGACGTTTAATAGCTATTTGGAGCTTTGGGATCACTAGACGAGGACTAATTGAAGTCATGCAGAAAACCTCAAATTCGACCAAAATGTATATTTTTCACTTGTTTTGCCTGTAGCCCGTGCGCATTCTGACTCATTTTGCCAGCACGGGTCACATACATATTTTAACAGTATCAGAGATCTCTCGTCTGTAATCGCTCATATCTCTGGCCGTACATCAACAACTAGTTGTTCAGTTCGGTTCCGTACACACTGTAGAATTTTTTTACCTGTCACCTGTATTTTTCGGAAGTTAATTTGGTAGTGGAATGCGGTTCTCACTCCTGTAAATGACTGAACTGTGTGTGTATAGAACAGGATTAAGCACTAAAATGGGGTCGCAGTGGCTCAGTGGTTCATGTAGGTTGTCTACAAACCGGAAGGTTGGTGGTTCAATCCCCGGTTCCACCTGACCAAGTGTCGAGGTGTCCATGAGCAAGACACCTAACCCCAGCTGCTCCCGACGAGCTGGATGGCGCCTTGCATGGCTGACACCGCCGTCGGTGTATGAATGAGTGGGTGAATGTGAGGCAATATGTAAAGCGCTTTGGTGGCCATTGGGTCTGTGAAAGCGCTATATAAATGCAGTCCATTTACCATTACTAAAAGGCGAATTGACAACCGAAATTAGCTGCAGTGTTTACATGGCCTTCCTGATCTTGAACTCCCAGCAGGGAACCTTCATCTTTCTTATCAACTCTATTCTCAATAATATTGCCTCACATTCACCCATTCAATAATGAAGTAAGACCACTGACTGGATTGTGCATTGAGTTCTAAAGTGCCATCAGAAGTGTCGGAGTAGTTGCAGAAAAAATATTCAAATAAACAATACATTTTATTAAATAATATTAAATATACAAGCCTCTGTTACTATATTGCACTATATTCTATTAATATTCAAAGTTTACCATACAAATATTTCTTTATGTATGTAATTATGCAGGATGATAATGATTTTAGCCATTTTATAATCCTGATCCATCGGAAAACCATTTCGTCTCCAGAGACAGTAGGGAAGAAAAGAAGTATCAGCATTTACTTCTGAAAATGCAAATGTACTCTTTCAAAACACTTTTCTTACCTGTTTATTATAAACAAATTCTACTGTGGTTCAGGAGTTTCAGAGGTTAAATTGATTTCATGAAGTCACTCAGCTCCTCTCGTCTCATTCCTGTCCAGGTCAGGCAACAGTACTGGAAGTGCTTCAGATGTCTTTGCTGTGGACTCAAACCCAACAACATCAGAAGTGTCCCAAGAAAAACACTCCAACGTCACGTTAAACCTAGAACGCGTGAACCAAAATATCTACACCAATGCATAAATGAGGGTGTTCTAAAAAAAAAGTTTCCTATTAATGATAAATAAATAACCAAGCATGAATGTGTGTACTGTGAGCACTGTGAGCACTGATATGACAAAACTCGACAAAGTGTCTGATGTCATCTGTTGGTTCAGTGTGAATTGGCTTACAGTCTCAGCTTCTTTCTGCAAATAATATTAAAACATGTTATCTGTATAAGTTTATTAATATTACAGCTTTTAATACTACTGATGTAAATTAAATAACTCATTTAAGCACTTACGATTTATTTTGGTGGAGGGCAAAAGTTTGCAGACTAACTCTAATAGTTTTTGTTTACTTAATATAAAAGCTGAATATGGAATAAATGCTTGAAAAATAGAAAACCTAAAAAAGTACTTCATGCCTATATGGTAAATGGAAATATTGAATAGCTTTGCATTGTTTAGTATCATAAAAGTACATTTTTAAATATTTGGCATGTATCATCTCTAATAATTAATGAAACTGTTAAACTTCAATTATATTTAACTGTTTAACAATTATATTTTATTTTGTCAAGCTCAGAAAGCCTTTGTTGGGTTATCATTCCTCTGTGAAAACATGTTATACGAGTATCTTCATTTATAGCTGTTAATAGTATTGATATAAAGCTCATGAACTATTTTATTTAGTCTTTTTTTAAACACTTTTCTTTTGATTTTCTCAATGGAGGGTGAAAAGCATATTTGTACAGATTCCTCTGAATAATCAAACTTAAATATTTTCAAGTAAATGTTTGCAAATAAAAATTAAGGCCTAAAAACTATTTCATGTGTGCATGGTGAAGGGATATGAATTTACATTGAATGAAATCATAGTTGTTTAGTTGTAAAGTTATGAATTTGTTAATCTTGCAATTATATTTTTATTTGTCGAGCTCAGAAAGCGGTTTCTTCTGTAAGGACCCATTTCACAGTATATTACTTTAAATATTCATATGTCTCGTAGAAAATATGTCATTTTTGTTACAACATATCTTAATAAACAAAAAAAAATGTATACAAATTGTGTTTAAAACGTGTTTTTTTCAGGCTCCACAAAAGAACAAAGCTCCAGTGTTTCTGATTTGAGAGGAAAATCCCTAAATTATATATCAAGCCCATATTTTAGCGGAAAAGTTAATCACAAATTTTGGTCTCGATCTTAACTTGGTAGGTTGGGTCTTAGATTTTTTAACTGAACGAACTCAGAAAGTGAGAGTAAATGGTAGTCTTTCAGCCCCCCTGATTCTCCTCAAGGATGTGTTTTGTCTCCCTTATTGTGTATCTTATATACAAATGATTGTGCAAATATAAAAATTGGTATTGTGCACAGTTATTGTGAGTCTTCTAGAAGACAATGAAATATGCCATGGTCCAGTGGTTGATGATTTCGTAAAATGGTGTGATGATGCCTGTTTGCAGCTCAATGTATTCAAGACAAAATACATGAGTATTGACTCACATAGAACACAAACACATCCTTCCCAAGACACATTTATTAAGAATAAGAAGGTGGATTGTGTGGAAAGCTATAAATATCTGGGGACAATTATTGATAAAAGATTGCGTTTTGATTTGAACACAGGCTCTGTGTAAAAAGGGACAGCAACGCCTTTACTGTCTTGGAAAATTGAGATCATTTAACATAGACAGGGTATTTAAAGGACATTTAAAGGGCTTTAAATGTTATACTTTCTTTTAACAGCCAAATTCCCCGAGCACATGCACCTACGCAGTCTTTATCATATTCTGAATTAAGAAATCATTATAATGCAGTCAAAAATAATTTACAGGGAACATAAATAATTACTTGACCTTCCGAGTCTTTCGTTCATTTGTCACGTGACAGACGCAATGAACGGATCGAACCCTGCTTCAGATCCAGAGCTCTTGCAGAGGCAGTGATCAGGCCAAACGGCCACTGTGCCATACTGTATATAACAGGCCTAATCATCATCATCATCATCATCAAAACTTTATTAAGGACACACATGGTCCAATCACACACAGTAACAGACAAAAAAAAAAAAAAAAAAAACCAACAACACAATATCACATGTTTACATACAGGCTAAAACGCCAATGGTTCCACATACCAGAGGAGAACCTGCCTGAACTTAGGGTCGGGTTTGTCAATGTTGAAATTATGCTGTTTGCAGAGTCTAACAACCTACACATACATCTGTACATGAGATTGCGCAGAACAGCAGAACAGGTGGGCACGCCAACACTGACAAACAATTGACTTGCACTACTCCATCGCGGCACCCCAAGCAACAGCCTCATTCCGTCATTATATGCTACATTGAGTTTCTGCATGCTGCTCTTTCTGTAGCGCCGCCACAAATGGGCAGTATACATCGGGGTGCAATATGCTCTAAAAAGTGCAATCTTTACAGATCCAGAGCACATACAAAATTTGCGAATCAACGTATTCGCCTGTGCATATATCATACGACACTGTCTATAAATATCCCTATCATCAGACAGGTCCTCAGTTATATAGTGTCCCAAATATTTAGCCTCATCGCATACCATAAGGTCAATACCAGACAGAGAAAATACAGGAAATAATAGTTTCCTGTCCTCCCTACTCCTGATAATCATAACATTACTCTTCTTTGCATTGTATTAAATGTCAAAATCTGAGCCATATTGAGAACAGACCCTCAGTAACTGTTGAAGGCCAGCACTATATGGACAGAAGATAACCAAATCATCTGCGTACATTAAGTGGTTGATGATAGTATTACCAACCATACAACCAGTTCCACAGCTGTTTAGCAATTTTGATAACTCATCCATATAAACATTAAAAAGAAAGGGGGACAGAATGCTTCCCTGTCTGACTCCATTGCATACATTGAATGGAGCAGACACAAAGTTACCCCATTTCACATGCATTGACTGATGAGCATACCAAAAAGCCAGAATTCTCACCAGAGATTTGGGAACTCCTCTGTTGAGTAACTTATAAAATAATTGTTCATGATTTACACGATCAAAAGCTTTAGAGGCATCAATAAAAGACATAAAAATTGTAGAATTATGCCTTTTATATAAATCTAGAATCTCCTTTAATGCAAAAATACACATATCTGTGCCATGTTTAGGTTTAAAACCAAACTGGTTGTCAATGGTCAGGACAAACTGTTCCAACTTGAGCAGTAAGGTCCTCTCCAAGACCTTGGATATAATACTGGCTAGTGCTATAGGCCTGTAGTTATCCATGCTATTTATTTTGCCAGCTTTGTCTTTAATAATAGGCACTAAGATCACAGATAAAATAGACTCAGGTAAAATACCATGAACTAAAAACCCTGTAAAACACATTGCCAGAAGAGGACAAAGTTTTCTACTCGCAAATTTTAGATGTTCAGCAGATATCTTATCCATACCACATGCCTTGGTATCTTTTAACATCATAACTGCATCATAGACTTCTTGAGAGGAAACAGTCACATCTTCATTTTTGTCAATGATGCCTACAGCAAGCGGATTACTTTTAACACAGTTGAACAGCTCATAATAATGTTTTTGCCACACCTGAGTAATTTCCTCTTGGCCACTTATACCATCAATATTCGTTGGCAAATATGTTTTTCAATTATTTATTCTTTTGATTTCTTTCCAGAAATCATTTGGATTCTTTTTTTGCAGTTTCCTCGCAAGTGAGTCCGACCTCATTGTGTTCTCATTTCTCTTTATAAAACGTAGGGCATATTTAAAACGTGCATTTGCTTGTTTCTTATATTCAAATAAGGGACCATGTTTATGTCTACCTGACTCAGCCCAAGCGTTAAAAGCCCTTCTAGCCTCCGCATGAAACTCTTCAACATATTCATTCCAACCTGGCTTGGCTTTATACATCTTGGTCTTGTATAGAGGCCTGCTTGACGCCAGAAGGGACTCCACAATATTATCATACACTCAAAAAAATGAACGAGGAAGGTTGTCCACTTTACATAATATATTTATATTTAGTTTACTTATAATAATTGTGTTTTTTAACTTGAAATGTTTTTTTCTAGTAAGGTCAACATAATTATGTCTCAACTTAACAGTACAAAATCCAAACGCGTTGTCTAAACACAAACCATTTATGTTAAGTAAAAAATTCTTACATCCAGATGGTGGCAGTATAGTGCGACGCCAACTGCCATTTTGCCCGAACTTAATTTGATTGTGTTCAATCTGTTTAACTATATGTATTACATGTGATTACATGATTGATTTGTGTTGCAGTAACTGAAACTGGGCGGTGCTTGTTAGTTCCCAGCATGCTTTGCATATGGTTGAATTAAGAGAGAATAAATGTTAAAATTAAGTGTTATCTTATATTTTTTTGAGAAAATTAGAAAAGGGGCAGACTTGATAGTGTGTATTTGTGTTTAATGTTCAATTACATTGGAATTATTAGAACCTTTTAAATTACAGTGGGTTACCATGGTGGAGAAGAGTGGAGCATTTTGTTTGGCTGTGGACTGATTTCAGTTATTTTCTGCTACTATGGTTGAAGGAGCATGTAAATCTTAGCATTTAAGATGCTAATATGTGCTGTTGCTAGCAAATAGCTACACTCAAAAGTTATATCACTAAATTAACTAAGAATAAACGTATAACTCAAAAAAGATGCAAATGAGTTTAATGGAAATGTTAATATCATGTCTAACCAACGCATCTATTTTGTGTTCAAATAACATGATAAAGGTTGGTTGACTTAACTTGGTTTGTTTAGATGGAATATAGGTGGCATGATTAAATCATGTTCATCCAATGAATCATTTTTTTGAGTGTACAAGGAGAACAACTCAATACCATGTTGTTGGTTCTTACAGTTAATATCACAACACGCAACCGCATCTTTTGGTAAGTCAATATTACTTAACAACACATCAGACTGACCACAATATACTTCAAGATCCTCCTCTGACAGTTTAGACTAGGGATGTCCCGATCCGATACTCAGGATCGGTATCGGCTCCGATACTGCCATTTTTGCGGGATCGGGTATCGATCAGACATCAATCAGACGAGGCCGATCCAAATCCGATATT